CGAGCCCTCGGACCCCGGCGGCGCCGCGGCGGGGGCGGGGCGCAGCTCTCCCGGGCGCCCGGCGGACCCTCCCGGCCAGAGCAGGTCCGGAGCGCACTTTCTCCCCGGCCTGTGGGCAGCCGCCGCCCCGCTGGGCCCACCTCACTCTGTTTCTCTGGGACGCAGGCCAGCTTCCAGCGGTGGACTGGTCTTGGCGCCCACCTAGAAGGGAAGTCTCATCGATTGTACCTGAAAGCACAGGTTTTTCCATGGGCTGGAGTGGAAATGGGGAGCAAAGGAGGCCGAGCTTGCGGTCGCTGTGCGCCCGGAGAGCTGCGGAGAGGGCCCTGCCGGGCGGGCGCCTCCAGCACTTCCCCCGCCGGCGCTGGCCGCCGGCCTCCAGGCTTCCCTCACTGTGCGTGCATGGGGAGACTTCCCGGCTTGGGTAGTGTCAGCTCAGGTGAAGACCGACGGATTTCCCCAGGAGCGGCCCCCCGATGCCCACCGGATGCCTAGCCGAGGGGGAGTCCCCCGCCGTGCTAAGCCAGGCTGCTCAGTCCTGCTCAGGTAGCCCAAAGCCTGAAGGCATCACCTAGTAGACCTGGAGCGCCGCTGAAAGTTTAAGCCTTGGGGAGGTGGGTGGTGCGATGGGAAGCTATTGCTTCCTTGACGTGCCACTAACTGCTATTAGGAAAAGAAAGAGAAGCCATCCTGCCAGAGATGTCTTTTATTAAAGCTGACAGGGCAAATCCAGCAAGCTTTCCAGTTGTGATGGTGTTAAAAGCAAGTCTCATTATGTTGCTTGGTTTTATTCCCTTTTGGGCTTTATTAGACAGCCTATGTGAAACAGGAATTTATAGTTCTAAATTTTAGCACTTTATTAAATAAGGTAACAGCGAGGTAGTTGAATTTGGGAGGTTCTGCCCTTGACTGTCCACTCCAAACTTTACAGCGTGAGCTTTTCCTAGTGGTGCTCATTTATTTGGGTATGTGGGTGTTGAGTCTTGCTTGGGTTGACACAGAGAGAACCAACAACACCCCTCCTCTTAACCTGTCAAGCTAGTTTGAGTTAGTTTGGGGACGTTTTTATCTCAGGTTATCTCTGTTTTATGCTTTTGGTACTGTTGTTTGGTTTGAGATTAGCACATTGATTTCTGTCACAGGTCATGTGTTTTAATAGATCTGCCCTGCCTGAAGAGAACTCTTCTGGTCAGAAGCCTTAGTGACTGTGAACCTGCCCAGAGTTAATCTGTAGAATTTAAAAGTACTAAGAGTATTCTTAAGTCAGTGTGCTAGATCAGTGGTTGTGGAAATACCGTTTTATTTGATCATTATCAGTTTGATAATGTTCAAAAGAGGGACTGAGGTACCTATCATACTCAAAAAATCTAGCTCTAATATTTATCAAATGTTAGATATTTCAAGAGGCATTTATCTTCGCATATCACTGCGGTAAAATTTACTTTAAGAATAATATTTAAAAAGTAGACCGGCAGACAGTTTTAACTCAAAAATCTTGAAAAAGAAGTTACTTTTTGAAAAGTCAGCCTGGATATAATTTTTAAAAATCCAAAAAAAGTAATTTTAAAATAAAAAAGAACAGTTTGTCACAAAAGATAGGAAATATTTCATAAATTTGTAGGCTTATTAAATTTTATAGGACTAGGGATATATAAGTTCAGCATTGCATTTCCTTTTCATATATAATTTCGTAAAATAAATTAGCCATGACTTCTGGTTTTATATGGAAAGTATCAAGAGTTTGCTAAACTAGTGATAGGATGGAAAGACTTCAACCTTTTGAAAAAAGTAGACAACATTGCAATTTAAATACATTAGAACATTTTTCTTTTACAAGAAAGTTCAGTAGATACACTAAGCTGATAAAAATGGATGCTATAAATGAAAACTAAAATACAAATTAGCTTTACCAAAGGCGTAATATAAGTATATTTAGCTAGGTAAAATTAGAATCAAATATATCTTGATCATAGGAATTAATTATATTGTAACTTGTTACAAATAACTTGTGTAGCTGAAGAGATTTATCTGCTACTTTCCTTGACACCATAAGCATCTATAAATCTAGGTACACAGGAAAAATATTAAACTTATTTCCTGTCAGAATAGCTTTACTGTTAGAATCTATGTTCTTTCTACTCAGTCCTGGAAAGTAGATATTCAGTTTTCAAGTGCTGGTCGCTTTTTAGTTGCCGGTTTTTGTGGAGTGGTGGATCAAACTCAATTTATGTGTTCAACTGGCCTTAGTCTGTGAAATGACAACTGAGATCTATCAGTCCTCACTAGAAATACCATATGATAATATTTGCCTCCACGCATCTTCCACAGTTTGAAAACTTGCCTGAGTTTCACCTGAAAGTGCAACTGCTGAATGGTCCTTTGAATGCTATTTTGCATTCTGAATTGGAATATTACTAAATCAGTTTGAATAATCAAAGTCCAAATCAAAGCGGATTGAATCTATTTTCCTTTCATTTCTTTACAATTGTAGAAAGCTTTTCAGTAACTTTAAAAGAAGACTTTTGGTAATGTAACTTACTTTCTCTCTTAGTACCTATACTTACAAAGATAAACGGTACTTAGTATAAGGAATATAACTTTTAACATGAAGCATGCTATAGTTTGGTGTCTACAATTAGAATATTTTTTTGAATATGGTGTGTAGATTGGAAAATTCTTCTTGTATTCTTTTGACTGCCAAAAGGATGCCAGGACAAAGAAACATTTCTGCAAGTTGGCATTAGAGATGAAATAGTAAAATAACACAGTAACAAGTAATATGAACTCAGTTTGAGTAATGTTAATTTTCCTTCGTTGGTGCTTGGTTTCTTTCAAGGGTTGAGTATCCTCAATTTAAAAGGTTATTCTCTTAGCATGAAAAATATCTCTGCTAATTCATCAAGGATTTGCTACACTTTAACCTAATCACATGCTTTCTTTGCATTTTTTCAATTCTTTAGGAACTTGTAAATTAAACATTTCATATTAGAGTAGTAGGTAATTGACACCATTTAGTTTTGTTAACATATAATCTTTGAGTTTTGCAAGTAATGTGATTTCTAGGTCAACACTCCCAAGTCCTCTGACAGTGCAGGTCACATGTGGCTAAGTAAGAGAAGTAGTAACATTTTCCCCCCTAATCATATTCCCTTGGGTGTTTTTCTTCTTTCAAAATTCACTTGCCTCATCTTAAAATATCATTATTTTGATGTATGAATAACAGAATACTGGCATTGTGCCTTTTTCACTGACAAAATAAATGAAATCATCATGCTGTAGACCTATGAATTTATTATGAGAAAAGATGAGAGGTTTATCTTGGTTTTGAATACATTTTCTTAGTAAACTTGTGAAGGATTTCTCTTACTTCTAAAATTTAAATGTGTTACGTCTTTTTTAATGTTAGAAATGTAAATTTTCTTCAAGTGAAAGCATTACTTAGAATCTTAACTTTTATTAATTCTGAGCCTCAATGAAACTATGATTTTATTAGATTAGGATAATCTTGTCATTTTGATATTTATATCTGAATTTATATAAGCACCACAATAAGAATAAGAAAGTAGTACAGCTCAGACACAGCCCATGTTTCTGTGCTTATCTATTTATCGGGGCCCTGAAGTTAATTCCTTCCCCTGTTTACATTTAGACATTTGTAAAAGAGAAGCATGCTTGTTGGGATTTGGCTACCTTTCCATAGAATTTTGCACAGCGAAGTCACCGACTGAGAGGTTGTATTCCAGCCACTGTATGCATTGTTTTGCATCAGTGTAACAAACTATCAGGTGTAGTCATTTGCCTTTTGGGTGACTGGAACCCCAGTGCTGTTTGAGGTACAGTTAGCTGGTTGTACAAGCTCATTTGGTATTGCCAGTGTCAACAAGCCAGTTGTGATTAAAAGTATCAGGGTGCATAGTACTTCATTACTGCCTTGTGATTTTAGTGGTATTAACTAGTGCACTGGTTCACGGAGCTAATATCTTATTGTCATGTGTGTTGAAGCTGACAAACAGTAGCTTTAGAGCCTTCTGTCTTTGAAAACTGAGGGTTTAGAGGAAGCACTTAGTAATTTGGTGCCAAATTAACCTTGTGAATTTCC